GACCGTCCGATGCTGGAAATGATCTTGCAAATGCGACCTGGCTGTGAAAATGAAGTTATGCGAAGAAAATGTGGGTTTCGAGCAATCGCTTGTTTCATAATTGTTGTGCTTACTTCCATTTCGAGTGAAAGTTTTGGGTGAAGAGTTTCGAAGGTCGGTTCCACCAGAAGACGACGGCAGTTTCCTCTTGACCAGCTGTCGATTGACTTTACTGCAAGCTTCATGCTGACGCTGTTTGCGGAGCAATCTCCTTCGATCCCGGTGAAAACGTGGTAAGCTTTCCCTCGTCATGTGATGAATATCATCAGACCAAGATATCATCTTCACAAAAAAATTCAATTTAACGATTCAAGAAAACTCCTTTAACTTGAATTCGGTTGTGACGATGATACCTCGCTCTGATGATATTCTTCACATGACGGACGAAAGCTTACCACTTTTTCACCGGAATCGAAGGAGATTGGTTCAGAAACAGCACAGAGTCATCGAAGTGGCGGGACGGTGAACCGACGTCAAAGTCCCGTCGGCGTCTTTCGGTGTCTGATGTGGCCAATTTACGAATCCCTTCCAGCCGAATTTTCATACAAAATTGAAATATGAAGAAAAGCTGCGTTTTAAAGAATTCCTTGATGAAATATTGTGACATAATACTCCATTTCGAATGGAAAATTGGTTGTGGTCTCGCTGGAAACCGACGCAGGATTGCCGGTCAGTGAACACTGTTTACTTGGGCGAAAAAGTACTCGGCTCACTGTCGTGCTAACCCAATGAAGATGTGCTAAACATTCGTCTCTACCGCCGTTGCTGTCGACATCATCAGAGCAGGTATCCATACTTCACCCAAATTCGCGATCTTTATTTAGAATCATAGGATTTCCTTGAAGATTAAGTTTGAAGTAGTTAACCAAATCATGGGATGCCTCATTAAGATCGCGATTTTATGCGTATGGAATAACGACTAGGCTTGCAGCCGGCCATTTTGTCTATGCTTTGTATATTTTTTCTCAATTTCGTAAAGTAAGCATGCCTTCTTTGATGTCTGTCACGACGGTACAGACGAAAGGTCAGCACAGTTTCATCGGGGCCGCAGGACGATGAGCCGAGGACTTCTTCGCGCAATTCAACAGTCTTCCCTGCTCCTTCGGTTTCCCGTATTCCTTCCAAACAACTTTCCCTTCGAAATGGAGAGTAATGTCTCGAAATGTCTCTTTGACGAGTTCGTATCTCTGATGATGCTGATTACGATGCCGGCGAAATGTTTTTGAATGTATCAAGTCCACTGTGTGATGCTGGGAATCATAAAAACTATTATGGCAGACGAATTCGGAATATGTGCGTTCTACTAAATCGCCCTGACAACAAGACCAAGTTGCGACAACCAGGTCAACCCACTTCTATACATCGAAAGGAGACTGCGACCATTCCAGAGACCACAACATCTTTTTTTTTCACATCTCGAAATTAAAGTTTGCCACTTTGACTCTCCTTCTTTCCAGTGCAACGGGAATTCG